CCTGGATTTTCAGAAGAGTATTTATGTTACTCTCATGCAGAGTCGATGATTGTTGTCAGGTTTTTTTTGGAGATGGGAAGGGAGAATTCTATATTTTTCTCTGTGTTTTTTTAGAATTTGGTAAGCCATTTGAGGATTGTTTTGTATTATAAGCCTCAAAATTTCATAGCTAAGAAGGGCAAGGAAAGGTCAACACTAATAAATCATAAATCTACATGTTATAAATTTGAATGACAATTATAAAAAGCTTTGTATTCTCTAGGGGTGGAGAAGAGCAAGTGCTAATAAAAAACCCAACAACCTAAAGCTCTTTTTGAGCTCTAAACATTCAAATATGTTCCTTTTAGGTTGTGCATTAGTCACTGGTTGTCCTATAATTTTCTGGGCTCAGTTTTGCAGTGTCCTAACTATGCTGTATTGTATTATATTCCTTGAGCCAAAAATCACAGATATCTGCTCACGTACACATTTGTCAATGAAGCTGGCATGTACAATGTGTAAGGATTAAAAGGAGACAATCAAAAAAAGGATAGAAAAGAAAAAGAGACTTCCAGCACTTGGAGAGTAAAAGAACTTTTTTAATTTTTTTAATGTCATTAAATGTTAGCAAAAGATTCACAAGGAGTTTCAAATAAATGTTTGAATAACCCAAGTAATTTAAAGATGACCAAAGTAATTGAGAAATCCAGCTTTTAGTTTAATCTGAGGAAGAAAAATATTTGTACAACTGAATGTTACTTTTCAATATGTGAAAAAGGAAATTAGCATATAACACTTCAAGCTCCAGCTTCTTCTAATATTTAAAACCATCCTAAATGTAGAGTTTTGTTTACATGAAGCAAAATTAGTTCCTTTCCCCACCCACCCCCTATTTGTGGGTGAGGTGGAATAAATGGGCTATCCCAGCCTCAGTTCCGATACCTCATGGATCAAATCCACCTGGAACACAACTCCAGTCATGGTGGAGCAAACCTCTGTCTCCTTACTGGTGCTTGTGTCAGCTTGTCACTGTGAGAGTAACCACCAGGGCACTGCTCTGCCCCTGAAAAGCTGTTCCTTGAATGTTTTTTGTTTCCTCATCTCGCTGTCCCACCAAGTTCCCTCTTTCATAAGTACTGTGACCAAGGGGTGGCTCCTTGCTAGGGCTGCTTTCAAGGACAGCTTAGTCTTGATGTTTTCTTGTCTCTGGAGTTTCTGCTCTTGGCATCCAGCTCTCAAATGCCTGAGAGCTTTCCCTGTTCTCAGAGCATCATGATACCATGCTGCAATAACTCACGGTGAGACCTGCCTCAAATTCATAGGTGAAACATTTCCAGAGATAAATATTGGGATAATAGAGTCATTACCTAGGCTTTTTTGTGAAGAGGAGATCTTCAAGAACCAGTTTTGGTTTGTTAGTTGGTTGGTTGGTTTTTCGTGGTGGGTTTTTTTTTGGGGGGGGGGGTGGGCTGTATGATTTTTTTGTTGTTGTTGTTGGGTTTTTTGTCCCCAAAGCAATAAAAGAAGAAGCAGTAAAAGAGATATGCTGCTTCTAGTGCCACAGCCTGCTGTAAAGGCAAATGTTTGTGTTCAGTGCTTCAGTCAATGATTTGAACAGTGAATTTAGTTGCTAGGGAAAGGGGAATCTTCTCTCCCTTCACCACTGCCTCTCTTTTCCCCAAGAAATGAGGATAAACAGCAAATAACAAGACTTTCTTCGACCTACCCTTGCAGGGTGTTTCAGCACTGTTCTTAGGCACAAAAGGTATCAGTTCTCATTTTTGTCATTTATCAAAGTTACACTGGAAGCTGTGGATGCAGATTCCAAGGTGAGGACACAGCACAGGAGATGGTCAAGTCTAAATGCTGGCCTGAGACTCAGCTGTAAGAGCTCCAATAGAAGCCAAGGAACAAAATGCAATAAATAAGTTGACTTTTCCACCATAGAGTAAAACCTACTGAAATCTTTCTGTGGAAAATCAAAGTTCTGGTGCAGTAAAATGCCACATTTTTGAAAACAGGGCTTCAAACATACTCAGTACAACCCAGAGCTAAATTAAAGTGATGACCTTTCCACAACTTAGATTTGGCTGGGATGAAATAAGCTTTTTTGGAGACAGGCACATCCCTTATAGAAAGGGACATGTTATTGAATTCTCATTGTACAGGAGATTCTATTGATCCTTTCAAGCACTCCCAGAGAGGTGTCATGAACTGGAGCAGACCCTCAAGACTGTATTTACTCTGAGCAGTCTTCAGAAGTGGTTCATTCAGGGTTAGGATAAAGGCACGTTATTGCTTTTCTCCTGGTTTCTTGTAGGGTAAATGAAAATTTCTGTACTTCAAAGCTGTCAGTCTAATGACCCTCACCAGAATTAATACAGCTTTTATGGAAAATACGATTTTGTGTAACTACACCATGAGGAAAAGAGGACAATTAAGAGGAAAACAGGATATAAAATTATGCCTTCAGAGATATAAATAAGGCACATAGCATTTCTTAAAAAAAAAAAAAAAAAGGGAGGGGGGAGGGAGAAGTGCATGCGATTTTTCCTGATGGTAGGACTAAGCCACCTGATTAAATCTGTGCAGGAGACAGTTGTGATTTTTTTGAGTGAGGCTTCATTGTTTTCTTTAAACAAATGTTATTTAAATAAAAAATCTTGCAGCAAATGTCTCAGAAAAATGACACTTTGATTATTTTTCCCCTAATTAGGGGAAAATTGAACTTCAGGAAAATGGTTGGAGCTGCAGCTTTCCTGCTGTGGGATAACACTACGCAGTTTTCTTAAGGCTAGATCAGTATTAATTCAAGTCTTAAAAGTCTGAGTTTTTGCCACAGCCTGTTGTTTGTTTTGGGTTTTGGTTTTTTTTTTAATTAATGGTGCTTTATAAGGATGTATCAGTCTACTTTTAGGCTTTGAAACAGAAGATGATTGGAATAAACAGGTTTTACATAGCTCTACATGTAAATGATACATGGAACAAGAAAATTAAGGTAGCACATTTTTTTTCCCAGCACTACTGCAAATAAAATGACTGTTTATCAATAAATACATAATGCACTTTATGACTGCATTATAAACAGTGGGAGATGAATGAATTTCATTTACACAGACCAATGATATTGTGCCAGTCATTATATAAATCAAACCTAGGCAGAGGCCTGTAAGCTTTTGCTGCTTCACTGATTTTTATTGCCGTACAAAATGATGACTGGAAACCATATAGAACAAGGCAAATTAAGAATCTATTGGGGTAAAAATGCGATTTGGAAATGAACATCCTCCTGGAAGCTACATTCATGAGCCGAATGCCGTGCGAGATTTTATCTTCCATGCACAACATGATGATATTCCTGTGCATATATGGTTAAATTAATTTTGCCTTAACAGCATAAAAATGTAGCTGGCCAAAATAGATTAGAACTGAATAATGTGTTGGATCACATTTTATTTAGATGGGGAAAGAGGAAAATATTTAATTTCAGCCTGGAAAGATATTGAGCAGAATAAATGATTGAGTTCAAACAAAGAGACTGTGCTTCCTGGAGATTTTTTCTTTTGTTGCATGAATGAATTGATCTGTAAATTCATGACAAGATGATGATTTTCTCAGTTACAGAGCAGTGACAAGAAAACAAAATTATTTCTCTGTGGTCAAACAGGAACTTCTCATCCTGTTGGAGTCCAGTCTCACTCTTTGAAGGATTATTCAGTTTCTTGGGGTTCAGCCAGTCAGTTTGCACTGTTTGAGGCTAAGGTGGGATGAAGTAGTTAGTGTCCTGCAGGATTTCTCTTTGAATAAACCCATCTTCAACTGCAAAATGCTCCTGCCTGTTACTAAAACCCAGCTTGGCCCACAGCAGATAAGTGGTTGGCTTCGAACTAGCTCAGCTGCGTTGCACTATTAACCTGCCATTTGCTAGTAGGATTACACCTTCCCTTTTTAGCAGTGTTTTCAGTTCACCTGTAACTACTCTGAGCAGATGGAGTCAGGGCCATTGGCTCAGGGCTGCCAGGCTCGTCCTTCTGCTAAACATATGCAGCAGCTGCTGGGGCCCTGAGGATGCTGTCCCCTGCACACAACCCCAATAAACTCCTGCAATGGAAGTTAGATATTTGTTAGAATGTTGCAAGTTAGATAAAACGGTAGGAGAAGGGTGGTGGTTTGGGGGTTTTGGAGGGTTTTTTTGGAGATTTTGTTTTTGGGAGTGGGGGGTGTGTGTGTGTCTTTTTTTGTCTTTTTTTTTTTTTTTTTTCTGATTCTACTCTTTTACTTCTCCTTGCCCTCTAAGTGTTTCTTGAATTTTGGTTGGGTTTTACTTTTTTTTTTTTTCCCCCCCAACCACAATGCTGTGGAGAATTATTCAGCCTTCAGCTATTTTTTATAAAAACTTTTGAAGAAGATATCTAGTGCATGTCTTAGCTTAATGTTTCAATGACAAAAACCCCTTCAAACACAGCAGGCAAATATATGCAGTAGAAGATTTATTTTGATGGCTACTTCTAGTTTCAGTCATATAGATACATTTTAATCCAATATTGAGGCATTATTGAATTGAACTGGTAATCATTTAACCGTAAACTGAGATTTAAATGCCTTTTAAAATGTAATTGCTTATTTCTGCTGTTAGGTATTTCACTGCACCTCTTCAGTATACCAGATTTCATTTGTACCTGTTTCTGCTCAATAATTAAGTAGACATTGTCTGCTGTGCTACACATTTTGGCCAATTTGCCCTTCTAATGGCAAGGACTCGCTTCTCTCTCTACCTTTGTGGTGGAAACATCCCAACGTCAGGCTGCAATGAGTAGGTCCCTCAGAGGCTGATGGCACCCTTCTCATGTGCCTGAGCTTCCCACAGACCTGAATGGAAATCTCAGGGAGCTTGGGAGCTAATTTCTGCTCACAGCACCTCATGAGGATGGAAAACAGCTTCTTCAAACTGCACTTAATAAGACAAGTTTATCCTGAAAATGCATTTAATAACTCCTGTGTTACTGTTCATTACTCAATAGCTCACGTAGTCCTGTGGGTGAACAGAACATCCTGAAGAAGTACACATCCCACTACAAACAGAATGGAAAAGAGATGCATTTCCTCCAGATGTTGCAATGTCACCTCCATGCAAGACCATCAGAGCAGTGGTAAGAAGTCTTCTTTGTCATGAAAGGGCTGACCTTGTTGGTATGCAGGGAGATGGATGTTAAATGGGAAATGATTCCTTCAGAATGTGGGATTTTGCTGAAATCATAGAGGGAATAGATACCACTTCACTAGAAATCGCTGGACTAGACTGTTTTTATTAAACAGCAGAACAATTTGACTTAACAAAACATATAAGCTAAGAATACTGAAACTCTGGTTTGTCCATTGTAGTGGACAAGTTTTTACAAGTTTTGTGGATCATAGATAAAACTGTTCATAGATTCTTATACTCCAGAAATCTCATGTGCCCAACTGTGTGCCTGGTTGTTTGTAGTTTTTACTGTTTTATCAACTGGTTTTGTGAAAAATATCCCCTTTCCTTTCAAATCTCACTTCTATCTATGAACCACTGTGGTTCTAAGAAACAGTGGCATGTTCTTAATTCAGACACATCCTATTTGGGCAACCGGATGAAATAAGGGACAATTTTAAAAAAAAAACAGTAAATGATGATTATTTGCTAGGTGTCTATCACCTGATTTTAGTAGTAATAGAAATGTCTTTGGGTAAGTTTAGTGAGTTCAATCTGGTTGAAATAAAATTGTCAAAAGAATTTTTTTCCATTTGAGTTCTTTGTGATGTGATTCAAATCAGATGTTTTAAACAGTCAACACTTACAGAATTTTAAATTAGCAGAATTTTAAATGTCAGTATAAAATAATAAACCCTTTATTTTACGGAGGAGAAATAAGGAGTAAAACTCTTCAAGGCAGTGATGATCTAGTATATAAAAGTAGAGTTAATTTTAAAAATTAATTCATGGAAAAAATCCCCACTGTTTCCCCTCTACCTCCTGGCCTACCCCCAAGTGGAAAGTGAAAGTGGCAGCTACTATGGTAAAACATTCCTTGGTCTGTCTATGTTGGAGAAAATGAAAAACCATTAAACGGATAATAGAATAAAAGTGCAATGAGATGTTCAGAGAATCCATCAATAAAAGGATGGCAAGCAATTGCTAAAGACAGCCCTTTCTAAATGTAGCTTTATTGCCAGAGGATGGAAAATTGAGAGAGAATGTGCAAACAATTGAATTTATGGTAATGGCATATAAGCGCATTGTACCACCAAAGCAAAGCTCAGAACAAACATAAAAGACAAAATACACCAATGTCCCATGGAAACCCTGTGTTTCACCCATTATCTCTTGGTACTGGAAGCTGTAATATTCTGATATTAAAATCTAATTCATTGTAAAGTGCATTAGGAGGAGTGAGGGTGATGTTCTGCACTGTGCCTGCTTTAAGGTGAATTGTTGGACTAAAAGCGATCCGAGGCATGAGCAATGAGCTGCTTGCTCCTGCGTACTCAGGACAGCTTTGTTTCTTAGCTTCAGTGATACCTGGACAGTCTGATGGTCTTATCTTGGCAGTTTATGGGTAAATTACCTTGAGATAATTAGAGTCAACTTGAATTTTATGCCTGTTTGAAAATGCACTGTCTCTAGGTCTGTTGAACCAGCAGAGGTGACTGCTAAATGACAGGCAGGAAGAAAACTATGAACTGATGGGCTCAGAGGTGGAGCCTCCCAATATACCCAGGTAAATTGGAAAGGGGAAAACCAACCTCTGCTGCAGGTTACAGATACATTTTCTGGACAAAACCACAGCCAAAGCCTTGACAAAGCTAAAACTCTGTGGTTGAAAAACCACAGGCAATAGCAGACTTCCACTGTGAGACAGACTGCACTCAGCGGTCAGGCCAGGGAGGGATGGGGAGGGCTTTTCTGTAAGGCATGTTTTGATTTTTACGTGCAAAGAAATTACTGGCAATTTGTTTTCAGAGAGGTTATTTCTGTGTGGGTTTGCTTTTTTTTTTTACTCCATGTCCCCACCTCGTGGTGTCAGCAGCCTGTTTCAGGAGCCCTGCCGTCCCTGATGACCACGCGTCCCTGCTTCTGCTCTGTCCACGTTGCTGCTCACATACAACCAACCCTGGTTCAGTGCTGCTGGCTGGACCAGGGAAGGGCCCCAGCATTAAATGAAGTCTGGGATTTACTTTTTTCTAATAGGTATAGAACAAGCATGATATGTTTGGGTGTACTGTGGGTAGAGCAGTGGGTATTGATGGCATTACCTGACTATGTTGCTAACACATGGTATGTTGAGAGTCTAAAGGTAATTCTCTGCTAGATTTATCTGAGGTGGATTTGAGGTTGAGGATAGTGCTTAGAAACAGAACAAATGGGAATAAAATACCCCAGGTCAGTACAGGTTTTTTCAGGACACAGGCTCTCTCTGAGATGGGCATAGACATTGCTGAGCCTAAGTTCAGTTAAACTGTTTTTTCTGTAAGACCTCAGCAAAGACTGAACCTTCAAACAAGCTTCCTGTACTGAAAAGTTAGAGGTTGGAGAAACAGAGCAAAAACATCTTTGTAAATAACAACAACAAAAATTAAAAATCTAGTTTCTAGGAGTTACTCCCTGGGAGTTTCTTCAATAGCAAACACTAAGAGTGGAAGACAGAGAGTTTTGAAAATGGTAGAAGGTTGCTATGAGGTAACCAGCACTGAGATACCTGCTGGTTTTTAAAGCAGTATGGGGATAAGAAGAGCCTAAAGATATCAACTGGAGAAATGAAAATAAATAGCAGCAGCCTGTCTAAGCCTAGCCCCACGGAGAGCAGAGCCTGGAGAATGCTACTGAGTGTGAACAAAAATCTGAGGGTGTCCAGCTGATGGCCCCACTGAGATGGTGGGACAAGCTTATCACCAGGCAAAATACTCTGTTAACCCAGAGTCTGGTTTAAAGATAAAACCGTGGCTATAAATGGCTTGGGCTCTGGCACAGCTTGTGTCGCTCTCCCTGAAAACATTTACTAAAAATGTAATTAGCATGTATTACAGTGTTGCCACTATTAATGACTCTACCTTTCCCGAAGTAAAATATTTCTCATTTATGAGGTGGATTAGGTTTTTTTGTTGTTGTTTTACACAGTTTTTGCCTGAAGCATAACAATTGTTATATCTCTAAAAAGCCCATAAATGACAGAGGCACAGCAATGTGAGTTCTGTTGAAAGATTTAGGCTACCGTTCCAAGAAGTGTAGTTGTCTTGGCAGCAAACAAGGATTTAAGTACCTTTGAGACATTTGCATTTAATTGTGGAGGAATGGCATCACCAGCTGCAAAAATGTTTAACCTTCAGAAATGCTTGTCTTACTCATTAGCCTCTCGTTGGGGCACTGATTACAAATACGAGGGCTGGGAGAGATATCTGTAGGGTGGCTTGGGGGGCAAGGAGAGCCACGGGGGTTCAGCTGAGTCTGGCCCTGGGTGATCTCTGGGATCATCAAATAGTCCATTTCTTCCAGTAGCTAAAGGTCTGAGCTTGGTAACATAATGTTACAGGCAGCAACTATCTGTACCTTTAGCTGAGAGGGGAAAAGTCACAGGCCTGATAGAACTGGAGAGCAGCTGTGGTGCTGTTGAGGGATGAGATGGTGTCTGGCCATGTCCCTTTACTGGGCACAATGATTGTGTCATGTTGTTTTCCCCATTTTCACCTTAGGTATAGAGGAGTTTCATGCATCTGATATCTGAGGAGCAGCCCTGTAAGTACGTCAGAGTGCATGGGGAGTGGGGAAGAGGTATTTTGGCTTCAGTCAGAGAGCAGCTCAAGATCTGTATACCTTTTGTAAATTATTTTTTCTTTAAATTCCATTTTCCCAATTATTTTTTATACTAAGAAAAAAATTGGGTAGCCCTGCCTACAATTTTTTGAAAAGCAGCAACAGAAATCAACACAGATAAAATCTTTCAAACTGTGAAGCCTCTCTAATTATGAATGCTTCAAAACTTGTTTGTGAGGAAGCTGTGCTGGACTTTGCAAGCACTGATAAGCAGCCAGGGCTGCTGGTTTCTCCCCAGGAGCTGCCTCTCCCACGAGTCACCACCAGCATGGTGGCGGTTCGATGAGCTCTGCCAAGGCTGGCTGCATGAAATCACCAGCTAGTCATAATGAGGGCTCAGCAGGCTGTCCTTGAGCCTTCTGCCCCTCCAGTTCCTCAGCCAGGATTCCTAATTTACTCGGCTGTCTTTAAGCACAGGTCTGATTCAGTATTCTGCTTGTCCCCAACTTTCCTGATTCCAGTAGAGTGGCTGAAAAGTAGCAAACACAGTGCGGCACCTCCTGGTGTCCAACATGGTAGAAATTCCCGTCTAAAGGCTGGATCTGGGCTTTCTCTTTATATAAATTAGATTATTTACAGAGAGCCTTCTTCTCACAGAGAACACACAGAGAACCGTGTGTTTCCTTGTCAGTCACTGACTTCTGCCAAGTGCTCAGCTTTCATTCTGGGTCTGTTCACCATCAGCCCTATCTTCAATTTATTCCATATAAACTGAGATGCTGTAATTGAACTTCTCCAAGTCTGCACAGCCTCGTCTTAAAGTACGCCAAATGCCTTATCCAGGCTTTGATTACTTCTCTGATGGACTACAGACATCCTGCTTGTTTGTTTATTAGGCGGCTTCTTATCTTGGCTGTAGGCTTGGGAACTCCATCATTTCAGTTGCACAGGTCCAGTAATTAGGCTTCCTACTTTTCTGGTCTGACTGGTGCTACCTTAGCCCATATGAAGGGAGTAGAAGAAAGAGATGTAGGAAAGAGAACGTTATCAGGGGTAGCAGTCAACAGCATAAGGAGAACCCTGGTCACACACATGCTATGCTGAATCCTGTAAAGCTGAGTTGTTGAGCAGTACCAAAAGATACTAAGACAAGGCCAGAGACCAAAAAGATGAATGCCAGGGATTACCATTTCACCAAAAAAAAAAAAGGCAGATAAATTAGAATAAAAGAATTTTTTCCAGAAATTTTTGCCTAGCAGGACAGGTTGAAGCAGTAGCAGAATGCCCCATCCTTGGGAAATGGTCAGGATCTGGTCGGACTGGGCTTTGAACAGCCTGACCTAGTAAAAAATGTCCCTCCCCACAGCAGAA